GGGGGGGGGTGGCTGCGTCATCGGTTGAGAGTCTTCTTCAGCGTCAATGAAAGACGCCGAGCCAAGTCATAAAAAACAAGACAGGATCTCCAAATCAAACATCACCGTTAATTAAACTCTGAATTAATGTCAACATCTGACGTCACGCCATTAAGGGCGTCACGTGACGGCCCTCTGAAGATCCGGGGGGTTGGGGGGTGGGTGGGTGGGAGCTGTCTAGTGCTGAAATGCGTTGGAGCTGTCCAGTGCTGAAAGAGAATCCGGACACTTTTCTTCTAATGGCGATCAAATAAAGATGAATAAAGATCAAACTGAACAACATGTGTTTTTTTGTTTGCTTGTGAACGTTTGCTGAAGCAAGACAAAGTTAAACAACGAGAGTAGAGAGGTGTTAAGAAGATAGACATTTGCTTTATACAAATTCAGCTATAGTTTTACCTTTCAATTCTGATGCCGAACACTTTAAGATCTTTTGCAGCCATCCAGTTGGAGGCCCAGGCCAAAGAACACCAGCTTAAATGGAGCCATTTTTCTTTTTGCCTTTGTGTTGGCACATGTTTAAAATAAAATAAAAAAACAAGTACAAGATGCACAGAGCGACGCATTGAGATGGCAAACATGATATGTTCCCTTTTCTGCCTTTTTCTGTTCCAAAATCAGCTTTTTTTTTTCATGGAACCTTATTTTTTCTTGTTTTCTGGATATGATTGGTGTTCAAACTTAACTGAGTTTCTGTACCACTAATTCCAGGTCAAAGATATCTGTGTGTGTGCACTTTATCATGGCAGTGAGTTCAAAGGCTTCAGCTATCACAAGAACTGGTTTTACTGGTTTGAACTGGCAAACTCTGGTACTTTTCCATCTCTTGTTTTCCATATCTTCACTTTAATTACTTTCTCCCTTTAAGGAAAACAAAAGCTTAATCCACTATTTAATTACGGGTGGAAGATAACTTTAAAAGTTCTAATTTCCTTTATTTATCAAACGATCATCAAAAGAATTGAAACTGTTCCTTCAAAAATGGTGCTTAAGTGCAAAGATTATGACAATAAATATTCATAAATGTACATTATGATAATTACAATGCAATGATGCACACTGTCTTAATCAAATCATTTATTTATGAGGCTGGAATGAAAAAGAAATCATTAAAAACCAGTGTTTTGGAGGCAAAAATGAAAAGAAACCATAGATGAACATTCAGCTAATTTATTTTGGTTGTTTTATTCATTTAGGAGGTCAGAGTTTAAATGTTTGTAGAGGGTTATGTCTTCTTTAAAGCAACACGTAAAAAGGGCCGGTCTGAAATATAAAATGCATTTCTCAGAATTCAGAATATAACTTTTGATTTGATTCTTTATGGAGTTTTGTCACTTTTCTGTGCTTCTCCTTTCTATAAATCAAAATTCAGACGCATTTCTCCTCCACAGGACCTGGAGTTGAATCCTCAGATGCTTGTTCAGAGCTCCTTTGCTCTCTGACGTCACATGAAAATCAGTTCAGTTTCACGTTGGATTCTAAAGAGACTGAAAAAGGAAATAAAAAGGCTGGCGGTGACTCTTCCAAAGCAGCTTTGCTCTAGATCTGAGGGAGCATTGCACCCCAGTGGCTGTAGAGAGAAAATGCACATTGGTTTCGAATTTTAGGTCCAGAAATGTGATAATTATAATACAAATCAGTATTTAATAGTTCCCATAACTTAAAGTCATATATTTAAAACTACAGAATCCCCTTTTTAGCTTTTTGTGTTTTGTCTTAATTGGTAAAAACATAGAAATAAATATTAAATGTCTCTGCTTTCACTTTTAACTGTCATTATGACACTTAAGGAAATGACCACATTTCCATGAAATCGATTAGAGTGATCCCCGTAAAGCGATGACTCATTCAGCTTTATTCATCTCTTAATAAGCTCTTCTTCTGTTGTTATCAGTATGTCTGAATCCAATTACTGACAGCACAGAGTGGAGACGAGTGCTTATCTTTCATCACTGGACACTCGATTAATCACAGTTTTTAAATACATCCCTGTAAAAACCAAAAAAAAAAAAAGAAAGACAAACATCAATAAACCTGCTTTGTTATATTCAAATGAAGCGTTTTCATTTCCAGGTATGAGCTGGTTATTGGTCTTTGCATTCCCAGCTTTATCACTCATCCAATCAATGGAAAATGGAAAATAAAATCCAAGTTTTACGAGTTTTACGAGTTTTACGAGTGATACCTGCCACAAACTGGGGGTGGGGGGGGGCAACATTTGCAAAAAGAGAGAACCAATAAAAGATATTAGGCCTTTGTTTGTCCGGAGGTGTCCGCAAACAGGAGTTTCCCCGAACCCTACACGGTTTTTTATGCCTCGTGCTGGGAAACCGACCATGACTGAGCTTTATCTTCCCAAACGAGCCGGGACAGGAAACGTTATGGCCCGATCTAATTATAGCCGGGCTGGTTTTTTTATAGAACCTGCTGTGTTTGAAGACCTTTATTGACGGTTCAGGCGTTGACAGAATGGGCTTTTTGTTAATCTGATTCGAAGCGTGTGTGTGTGTGTGTACACACACTCTTGTCACTTGACATTAATCTTTTCCTTATTGTGTAGATGCTTCCTGTTCTGGGGGATGATTTCAGGTCGGGGGTGCCTGTCTAGAAGTGGATGTTGGCCTCTTAGAGGTGATGGAAATAGGACTCTTATGCTTAAAAAAATATGGCTCCTTTGGGATTCTGTTTCCTGCAAGGAGTCACTGTTGTTAATAGCTTATTTCAGCCAGTAAAAACGCTCATTTGGGTTTTAAATTGCACATTAAACACACTTTTGTTTATACCAAAGCTCCTAAAAGCTCTTTTTGGGTGCTAACACCTGGGATTTATTCATTTATGTGACTTTGACAGACCAGAAGTAAGGCAGATTTAAAAAAAGCGGTTTAAAAGTCAGTGCTTTAGGATTCAATTCATCTAATTTAAAATGCGGTTTAGAATAAATTAGTCATTATTATATCAAATGTTATCACCTGGTTTTTGATCCATGGTAAAATTTATACTTTTATTTGTCAAATAAGTTTAAAATTTAGACAAAGGCCGTAATAAAAGTACACGTGAGGGTAAATAAAAGTGGAACAGAAACAAGAAAAGCACAAATTGAATGAAGCAGATAAACCAAAAATATGCAGGGTTTTGTGCTGTGAGCAAATGTTAATTTGCACTAAATCCACGAGATGCCTTAACATTTCCAGAGTAACAAAGCAAATAACACATATTTCGAACTGTAAAAATGAGCAGACATCCGGTAACATCTATTTCAAAATCAATAGGTCAACTGAGGTCGTTGTGGTTTTCTTAGAAATTTGAGGACTTTTTATTAATCACTCATTTTGACTCATTTAAATGCTTTCGAAATGTGCTCATGCCTCTGTCTTTCCTGTAAATTCTGTTTTTTGCTAATTGGCCATAATATGTTCCTATTTAGTTATTAAATACTCTGCTGCTGAGAGAAAGTACCTTCAGTATGTAGCCCACTCTGTATAGTGGTATTCACAGTAAAGTGAACTTAGTTTGAACCAAACAAACCCCTTAAATGGGCATTTCTGAGAGCTGAAAAGCACTGATCCTAACATTTGAAGGTGTTTAAATAAAACTAAATGCCTGTCTCCAGCTCCCATCAGTCTCTATCAGCTGTATACGCTCAACCACCAGCAGGGGGCGCCAGAGATCTGTAAATAAAAACCATATTCGGTCTTTTTTTTCTCCTTTCTGTGATTTTTTTTATATATCCTAACCCGTAAAACCATCCTGCAGGACCCAGTCTGCCTTTTCCCTTCCTCTCCTCCCTCTGAATGTCTGTTTTTTCCTCTCTCTCCTTTTATGTGGCCGTCTCTCTCTCCGGGACCAGCTGAGCCAGACGCATATCTGGGTCTGTCTCCAGCTGTGTGGCTCCAGTCCCGCAGGCTGGGTCGGCCATATTGTGTGTGTGTGTGTGTGTGTATGTGTGTGTGTGTGTTGATGGAAGTTTAGTTGCAGGCATACAGGCGCTGGGACTCTCCGGGACCTCACTCTCCTCTCTTTTGTTTGGCGATCCGGGGGCATGCCGCTATGGGACGCATCCTCTGAGCGCCTCCTCCTTCCTCCTCCTGCCTCCTCCCACCTCCTCCCGCCTCCTCCTGCCTCCTCCTGAGCCGCTTTTGCCTGAACTTGAAGCGGACCTCCGCCGGACGCACGACGCCGCGATGAGAGCGCCGCGGTCCCGGCTCCAATAATTTCGGATTTACTCTGACCCGACCGGATTAAAGTGTGTGGGGGGAAAAAAGGGGGGAGGGTGGGGGAGGGGGATGGGGTGATACGGAGGAGGCAAAAAAAAAAGAAAAGAAAAACACCCAAGAAGGACGCGGACGCCAGAAGGTAAACGCATTAAATTGGAAGAGATCTGCGTCTTTGTCCGGTGATCCTGCTGAGCTGTCACCGACAGAAAAAAAGGAGCTTGGACCTGTTTCCGCTGCGGGCTGCAGCCTCTCTCAGATCTGTTCAGACAGATGTGACCGTCAGACAGATTCAGGAGACACAAAAGCATGAGCAGCTGCGTCTAAATACCCCGAAACGGGAAGCTTAGTAAGATCAGTTATATCACAACGATGAGTTTGTAGTCATAAACGCGAGTTGTTACGCGATTCCAAGAGTTAAAACGTGCTTTTTATGTAGTTTTCTGAACTGTGGATGGGAATATTCTCGTGCACTTTGACCTCTTTGTGCGTAATGGTAAAGGGAGAATGCGTAAAAAAAGCAGATGTGGCTCCTCGTCGTTTTTTTTACATTTGCAGCCAAATTTGTGACTGGTGCTGATTCAGATCATCAGGAAATAGGGACTGGGGGTGTGGGGGGTTAGCAGATTGAGGCTCTGTCCAGGGGCTGCTGGCTCTTTGTCCCTGCTGTCCGGGTTCCAGCTTCCTCTGGAATCAGTATCTTTGAATCCGTGAGCTAAAAGTGAGTGATATCCTTAAGATCTCTTCACGAGTCATAGCTACTCCAAAACCCTGTCAGGGAGGCAGAGTTCCAGGATTTGTTTTCAGCCCATGGAGTAAAACAGGTGATGGTGCCTCCCCCCCCCCTTCCCTCTGGGGGTTTAGGTTTTAATATCAAAGCAGCGTGAGCGGATCGGACATCTGTCTTTCCACATGAATCAACCTCTCCAGCTCCAAACTATTTCCAAACTCGGCAGTCTGCGTCAGACTGCTGTAAATCTCAGAACAGAGCTGAGACGTTTCCCTGGAATGCTCAGAGGCCTCACGTGCTTGTGGTCACGTGACTATCCAGACTATCCAGACTCTCCAAGGTCTCCAGGCTCTGGGTGGAATCCGGATCCCGGTTCTGATGGATGGAGGAGCTTTTCCCCCTCAGGATCGGCCGCCTGGCCTCCGTCCAGTCCAAATATCTTTGCTGATCTAAAGCGCAGAGCAGCAGTGGGGGCTATCTGAAAACGGAGAGGCGCTAACGCTCACCGACTCGATTTCAGGTCTTTAATAATGCATGATATGCAAAGGAGAGAGATTGGGATCTGAGGAAGTTTTCCCTTCCCCGTCGCTTCCCCACGTTCGGTTTGGCGTCGTTACCGCGAAGAAACGTCAAAGGTTTCTTTGTTTTGAACTGGTCACCGTTATTCAACCCCTGAAATGATCAATGGAGTGATTTAATAGTGTTAAAACATGGGGAGAGGGCAAAAAAAGCAAAATTCTGTTGTGAAACCTGCCTGGAAAAGTTGATTTCTGGACGTTTTTAATGCATGTTTGATGTTGTTGGTTGGGTTGAAATGGCTCCATTGAGGTGTTTTATACGTTTAGGCCTAATTCTGGTATGCGGGAAAAGGGCCAAGAGCCAGAATCAAACCCTGGAGCCTTCGCACATGGGCCGCCTACTCTGGGCCCAATGTCCCCTCATTCCAAATCAGAAAGGTTGTAGCTCTCAAAAAAAGCAGAAAAAAGTCCACTTTTGCTCCGAATCTCCAGCAGATCTGTGGTCAGAGTTGATCGGACCTAGTGGCAGAACCTGGGGGGCCATTAAATTCCCTTCTTTTTCAATCAAAACTCTTTCTGCTTGGCAGAGTCTGAGGACCGAAATGGCGAATTTCCCAAATCCAGCCCTCGTCCTAACCCTTAAGACTGGTCAGGGAAAGCCTCGCTCCGTTTTCCGCCACTCTTTCCCGACTCTGGCCCGAGGTTTCGGCCATCTTGTCGGCATTTCGTGCGCAGAGGGGAACCGGGGGTGTCGGGGAGGCATCTGCTGCTCCCAATTATGACGGGAACGCCGGGAAATGCGAAGAATGAGGGGCCGGCTCTGGAGCTCCGAACAGCTCCGGCCGGACGGGGTTTTTTTTTTTTTATCGGCCCCAGCTGCTGGTTTGATTCACCGTGCTCTGTAATCCCTAAAATGACAGAGGTAACCAGCCTAAACTCAGTACCTTCTGAGCATCCAGAGTCCTCAGATAGTCATGGAGGCACTTTTCCCCTCTGGGGAACATCTGGAACTGGCTCAGCTGTACGTGAACACGCTGTTTTTATTTTCATTTTCACCACACGCGACGAAGAAAGCTGGTATTAGTGGACGCCGTAGCACCTCCGGAAGAGTCCGAAAGCCTCCGAATGCATTCGGATTGCGGCCAGGCTTTTCTTTTTTCTTTTTTAATCTTTTTTTCTTTTGTCCTTGAGAAAGAAACAGAGTCCTTATCAGCGCACCGGGCAGTCTGACCTCACTGGGAGAGGAATATTAAACAGACATTGTCTTGTGTGCTGCATTCAGACCTGGAGCGAGACCTCCTCAATGCAGGAAAAAAATAGGAAACTGAGCAACGTGTTTTTCTTGTAAATAGACTCATCTTTTTGTTTAGTTTTTTCTTTTCTTCGATCGAAGAAGAAGCCTCAAAATGCCTCGAGTGTAATCAGAAAGACGGGCCTGTGTTTGACACAGATGTGGAGGGAGGGGCCTTTAGGATTCAGGCTCAGGCCGAGGGGAAATGTCAGGCTCGCTTGCCTCCGATTTTCCGTCTCCGTCGAGCCGAATGGCGCTAAGACAATGGCACCTCGTCTCTCCGATCCGATAGCGGAGGAGCTCAGGCCCGTGACTTTTCACCTTCCCCTTCCCCATCTGGGTCTGGATCTGGATCAGTCGTAGGTCACGGCACCATCCGGGGGTATACTGTCTTCAAGTCCAATTGGCTGCTATAATTATCTCCAAGTTTGGTTTTCCTTGGGGTTTTCCTGGCTGCGCTTCCCAGGATTGAGTTGAGACGACTTGAAAAGTCAGAGGGACCTTTCTGTGTTTCAGACCCCCCTCTAGGAAAGTCGTACATGCTAGGATGGGATCCTACCGGCCTTTAACTCATTGGCTGCCAAAGACGTCTATAGACGTCTTTTATGTTTTTCAACGAGAGTGGCTTGGGGGACGATCTGCTAAAGCTTGTCCGTAAATATCGGCTTCTAGACAGAGTATGTAGTAACAAATTGACCCTCTAGGGGGCAGTGCCACTTTTGATGGGAGATGAGCATAGACTGTAGGCAAATAAGAAAAAGGTAACGGTTCGCTATGAGAAAACATGTCGCCGTAGAGACGCAAGTCGAGGAAGAGCGGAATAAGGTAGAAACAATTTTTTTTTCCTGATAAAAGAAGAGAGTTTACTCTTTCTTTTGGTGTGTTCGGTGTTTACATAGTCATAACACAAACTATTCTGTGGCTCTTGAAAAATCTGTCAAAATGCTCCAAAAACTCTGGCAGTATAGGACTCTCTGTTCTTAAAATGGCTGGCAGTCAATGAGTTAAGGACCACCAAGGGTTATTGCTTTTGTTGCATGGCTTTCCATCGCTCAGGGTGATTGAATACCAACTGTAGGGGCGGCCCGGGCAGACCAAACTCACAGCGTCGTTTTGCAATGGCTTTTTTTTTTTTTTTCCGGTTTTCGTTATTATCCTCTTAGGCTAAATCCTCTGTCTTCGTAATCTTCCCGCTGGTTCCAGCTGGTAGTGGGGGGGCCTCTGCTCCAAAACGCTAGGGGGAAAGGCAACTGGACCTCTGAAATGGTTCACCCCTCATCCGAAAGGCTTCTTCCCCTTCCTGACCCTCCAACCCCCCCCCCCCCCCCCCCCCAATCTGTCACAGATGTGCCTCTTTCTTACGCCTGGCTCTGTCAGAGGTGTCTGAATGCCCCCTTGCTACCTCCAGACTGAGGTGTTTCAGGCATTTATAGCATTTATTATGGAGGTTACGTCTCACAGCTGGATGGGGATCCGTCTCTCTGCCAAAAGAGCAGGGAAGAGGAAGCTCTGAGCAAAGGTGCTGCTTAAACTTCAGCTCAGGACGGTTTGGTGTGATTTTATTTAGCCTTTTTTTCACCACAGTCCACAGCAGTTTAGAGATTTCTCCCCAAATCTGAACGCCAACATGTCTGTTGTTTAAACTGCTGTGAAAACCTAGAGTAAAATTGTTCTTTTTAAATAAGGAGACACAAAGGGAAGTGACAAAATGCTTGTTTGACTTCACGTTATTTCAAAGAGACCTCTTCGTGCCTCTGTTTGAGGCGATGATGAGGGGGAATCAGGCTAGCTGTTCTCTACTGTTTATTATTAGTAGTCATCAATTGATTCGTACTAATGAGAATAGAAGTTATGTAACAAGTTTTTCATCAATGGTCTAACTGCACCAACACTAAACTTCATTTGGAAAATATATATATACATTATGCATTAGTTCAGAGAAGCCTTCTCCTTAAGTAAAGACCACAGAGCAAAGATCAGTGTTTTATATTGACAGAGTCCCTGAATACTGGATATTTGTGTGTTTGCTCTAACGATTAGTCCGATGTGGCTGTTCCTGTTTCAGCTCGTGCTGAGATGACCCATCCCATCGGTCTGATAATCGGACAGAGTCCACAGCGGGTGCAGCCCTCTGTTTTCCTTAGCAGTGGTTCCATCCTGAGGCCTGAGGAGAGGTTGGCTGTAGATCCAACGTTTCAGACCGGATTTATTGGCATGTGCATCTGAAGACCTTTGTAAAGAAAACACCAAAAAAAAACAAGCTTGTCCTCCACAGGCAACTCTTGAAATGCTTTTCTTTTGCTCAGCATTAGTTGCAACCTAAAAAACAAACCTGCAGTTTGACCAAGTCTGCTGTTTAAAAGTCCAAAAGTGGCCAGAATCTCTCGTTTTTTTCCCCATTTTGTTGATTTACTCGGCAGGAAAACTCCATGTGATGGGGAAAAAATCCCAACATCGGGGTCTCCTCCGGTCA